CCGTGAGGGCAGCAGCGAGTGGGTAGGCACCGCTGCTGGGATGGAGCCTGTCCGGGGCCGGAGGAGCCCTCCGCGCTGCCTGGGTTGGATCTACTGTGCCCTCCTTCCATAGCTGCCTGGCCAGGGCCAGGCTCTCATTCCAGCCACAGCCCCTTGCCAAGGCAAACGCTCTCCTAGGCAGGTCTGGAATTCTCTGTCTGGTTTCTGTGGTGTGGCAAGGAATGGCCCCGGTGCCTGCGTGGCAATCCGCTGAACTCATGCTGCCTCCGGCTGGTACTGGGGGTCCCGGGCAGCCCCCGGCGCTGGGGCTGCCTGCCTTTGCCCTGGGAACAGGCATTTTGCTGCCGTCGAAGGGAGATGGGACTGCAGCGAGGGCTTTGTCCCTGCTCAGTGAGTGGTCTCAGTTTCTGGTTGGGGCTGTGACTTTTAAAAAAGTGCTGGGTGTTTTTCGGAAACATCTCGCGGTGGTGAGTGGTCTTCTGTACTGACCTGCCCTTCCTGCCCCCTCAGGTGTTCGTGGAGACACTGGACAAGTGCTTTGAGAATGTCTGTGAGCTGGACCTCATCTTCCACATGGACAAGGTGGGTTGTGGGCTCTGTGTGCTCCCTGGGCCGGCGCCGCCGTTCCCCCCAGAGCCCTGTGCTCCACGGGCAGGAGCCGTCCCAGCCTTGAGCTCTGGAGTCTCTCAGGAGAGGCCGTTGATATGTTAGGGGTCACTTTTTGGGGAGAGATTGAAATCCTGGGTGGGGAAGTTGTCAGTGTAGGGTCTTCTTAAGCCACTCATGTCGTGTCCTCCAAGAGGTCGGTGCTGCCGGGCTCTGTTGGGAGCCCGCCGTGGGTAAGCCGGCTTTCGGCTCCCAGCGCTCGCCCCGCTGCCGGTGCACGGCTGCGTTGAGGCCGCCCTCCCTGCCGCAGCGCGGCGATGGCGGGGTGGCTGTGGGCTGGTGATTGCCACCGACGCCGGGTAACTGTGCGGTCGAGTGACGGGGATCCGCGCTGGGGCTTTGCTCTTGGTCCGTGGCACGGGCTGGCGCCGATGGAGCTGGGCATGGCGCAGGGGCATTTCGCCTCTGCTGGCTGTACTGCGGAACCTGTTAGGAATGTTGTTAGCATTTCACTGGAGCCGCAGGGGAAAAAAAAAGAGTAAGGAGCAATGGGAATGTTTGGAATACAGAATGTTTGGTAAACTTCTGTTTGAGCCACAGCCTGTAATGCTTCCTCTTCAGCTGGACAGAGTTTCTGGGCAGAAACGGATCCGCTTTGGTCATCTCCATAGATGGGGCTGAAGATCACTGGGACTGTGCTTAGAGGAAAGGGAGGCTCAGCTGTCCTGTGCGCTGCGCTCCCGTCGCTGGCGATAAGGATGTTCTTGCTTTGTTGAAGACAAAACGTGCTGTCGTGGTTTAACCCCCACCGGCAGCTACGCACCGCACAGCCGCTTGCTCGCTCCCCCACCCTGGGGTGGGGGGAAGAGAATCGGAAGGGTAAAAGCAAGAAAACTTGTGAGTTAAGAACAGTTTAATAATTGAAATAAAGTAATAATAACAATAGTAGTAGTAATGAAAAGGAAAATAACAGAGAGAGAAATAAAACCCACGAAGGACAAGTGATGCAAATGAAAGCAGCTACTGTGAACCGACCGATGCCCAGCCAGTGCCCGAGCAGCAGCACACCCACCCCAACCTCTCCCCTTACTTTATTGCTGAGTACGACGTCATACGGTGCGGAATATCCCCTGGGTCAGTTGGGGTCAGCTGTCCCGGCTGTGTCCCCTCCCAGCTTATCGTGCCCCCCCAGCCTACTCGGGGTGGGTGGGGTGAGAGGCAGAAGAGCCGTGGTGCTGTGTAAGCACTGCTCAGCCGTAACCGAAACATCTCTGTGTTATCAGTGCTGTGTTCTGCACCAGTCCAAAACACAGCCCCACACCAGCTACTGGGAAGAAAATTAACTCTACCCCAGCTGAAACCAACACACGTGCCAACAAAAAAGAGGAGGGGCAAAAAATCAGTAAGGTGTAAAACGTTCCCTTTCTGTTGGCGATTCCAACTGAAGAACTCTGGCAGAGAAATGGAGTTGGCAAATCTTCTAAGGCAGCGATCTGGATCAGCTGAACGTACTAGCAGCTGGTTAGGTAAGACTTCGATTTCATAATTTGCCTGCTGTAAACTTTCAGCAATGTTACGTTGATTATCTTGTCAGCAAAACTGTTCTTATCAAAGCAAGCAAAAGGAGAGGAAGTCAGAAGTCAGAAGGAAGGAGGGGGTTCCTGCGGGAGAAGTGACGGCAGTCACGCAGGTCGCCTCTGGACGCGGCTGGGGGAGGATGCGCTCCCAGTCACTGATTTTTGTGGCGTGACCAAGACCCGGCAGCTTTACACTCAATCCACGGCCCACGGGCAGAAGAGATTCCCCTGTTTGTGTGTTTTGCAGGAGGAGCACGGAGCGCCCTTCCTCTGGGCTCTCCTGCCAGGCAAAGGGTTCAAAGGAGACGGGAGTCATGAGGGTTTCGGGCAGGGGGGACCCTGGGCTGGGCCACCCCGAGGCTCTCCTACCAGTCGGGCTTGTTTACTTCCCGTCCTGTGCTCCCGCTGCTTCTCAGCCTTGACTTCAGTCCTTGGCCACTATCCTCTCGTCTCTCTTTCTGTCTTTGGCCTGTATTTGTTTCTCAGATGTGTTGATGTTGAGTGCCTGCGCTTCCAAGAGCTTGATTGCAGATGGGTGGCGTTAGGGGCGCTGGGAATAGGCAGGCATGTCCTGCTGGTCCCTGGGTCTTGCCCCTCGAGTGCCCGGGAAGGGCTCTCTGCGGCTGCGATGCCACCCCAGCGCTCCCCGGAGCCCTCCATCCGCAGCGTCAGTCTGTCAGGAGCTGCACGGGGCACGGGGCGGCCCCCCACTCCGGGAGGTGGGCTGCGGAGTTTGTGAGTTCCTGAGTAGGACAGGAGAGAAACGAGGCCAACATCAACGGGAAAGTGCCAATTTGTCGAGCAGAGACTTTGGCTGCAAACGTTCCCAGCGCAGCAGGTTCTGGCTGGGATTTGGGCAGATCCCGTGATTCTCTGTTACTGCCTCGAGATGCGCCTCGCGCTGCGTGTGCGGCGCAGGGGCCGTGCAGTGAGAGCTGCTGCAGGGTTTGGGTCCCTGCTCCGGCAGCGGGCAGCTGGAAGGGGCTGTGGGCTCTGTGGTTCCCGGGCACCAGTGGCACTCGTGCTTTTAGGCTGTCAGCTTGGAAGCAGCAGCCTCAGAGCTGAAGAGATCCCTCTTTCGCAAGGGGAGGCCGGCGCCACGGCTCAGAGGAGGCTCTTGCCCGGCTCCTGCTTGTGCTTTGTACCTTGGAAGAGAACGTGAGTTTTGCTGAGCAGCTGTGAGGTCCTGGAGAGGACACGGTTTGTTCAGGAAGTGCTGTGTTTCGATTTGGAAAACAAAGCTTGCTTGGGATTTCTGCTCCGTTGGTTTTGGTCCAACTTGGGCTGAAGCCAGATCTTGAAGGAACAACGTTTCTGCAGCCCAGATGCTCTCCTGTTGTGGGGAGCTGCTGGCACCGGCCGCAGCGGTGCTGGCAGGGGCTGGGCTGAGCCGAGGCTGCGCTGTGGGATGGCGCTTCCAGTGCCGCGGGCGTCCCGGGAAGGGGCTGCGTCACCCAGGGCTTGCCCGGTGGCCCGAAGCTGGGTCTCCCCCTTCTAGCAGCTTCTCTGGCGTGCTTTATTTTTCACAGCATCGCCCTGACAGCATGTTCCACGCCGCGTTTACAACCGCAAACTGCCCTCGTGAAGCCATAAAACGATGCAATAATTTATCCATCTTCCAGTAATAGCCTATTTCACGGAAGTTACCAGAGACCCGTAAATTCATTATCGGTGCCGGGTGGTTGCTGGGAGCTGCTGACGGAGCAGGGCAGGCTGCGCTGCGCGGGGCAGCCCGGCCGAAGCGGGGTGTGGGTGCTGCAGCCGCCCAGCGTGACCCAGCTGCCACCCCGGGGCTGCTGGTGTTTTCCTGGGTCGCAAACCACGATGGCCCCTTTGTCCCGCCGGGGGATGCCGCCGGCCCTTCCCGGCAGGGGCTGGCAGGGGGAGCAGCTGGAGACCACTCTGCTTCATCCTTGGCCCCAGGCGGACCCTGGGGAAGGGAGTAGGCTCTCTTGGCAGCTTTCATGTGCGTGTGTCACAGTCCTGTCTTTCCTAAGAAAAGCTGAGAAGTTGGGCTCTGGCCCAGCTTTACAAGGAGAAGAAACTGGTCCTGGGAAGAAGCGTTCTGCCCGGTGGCTCCAGGAGGCCCTGGGGTCCCCGCTGCCCCGTGGGCTCCTCTCTGGAGCACTCTGGGGTGGGGACTGATGCCCGTTGTGACACGGGCTGTGTGGGCTGTGGGGAGGATGGGGCTGGGTTTGCATCTCTCCGGGAAATGCCAGCCCCAACGTGCTTCCATGCCAGCCTGCGGGCACTGCGGCCGCCGCTGCTCCCGGCTGGTCCGTGAGCCGGGCTGGGTTCACAGCCTTCCCTCCCCTCCTCTCCCCTTCCCTCGCAGGTTCACCACATCTTGCAGGAGGTGGTGATCGGCGGCATGGTGCTGGAGACCAACATGAACGAGATCGTGGCGCAGGTGGAGGCCCAGGGCAAGCTGGAGAAGGCAGAGGTGAGTGGCAACGCTGCAGCTCTGCCCCGCCAGAGGCTGGTGGGGGGGGGGGGGCAGCCTGCGGGGTCTGGAGCTGGTGCATGTGGGGTGTTCCCATTATCCCCAATATCCCCAGTATGCCCAGTATCCCCAGTCCTTGCCTGCCTGAGTGCTTGGAAAGAGGGCACATCCCTCCCCAGCTGCGCTCCGTGCTGTTTAGGAGTGTAGGGAGCAGCCCAAGCGTGGAAATGGCTGGGCC